TGTTGTTGTTGTTGTTGTTGTTTGGTATAGCACTTACACCTCTTTGTGACAGCCTTTATTTTTTTCCTCGGCCCGTTCGTCACCATATACTGCCCCTTTATGTATTATTATATGCAGGTATCTCATCACGACGACGCATATTGTGCTGTTTCATCGACTGGATCTGACCAACAATAATATTATTATTCTATTCTCGAGGCGGTCGGTGGACCTTAGCAATGCTTATCTTTGTGTATTTCGAAAACCAGTTCACCAATTTTGTGCAACGAAATGACATATTTTGATTGTTTTTTTTTTAAGTCATCGCTGTTTTTTGTATCCAAAAGATTCCTATTCATTTCAAAATTGTTGTACATACATTTTTAAAATTATTGAATTAAAATTTCAACTGTGCGGCTGTGCCTATATATGTAACAGTACCTACTCGCTGAAYTTGAAATATTATTAAATAGTTTTCRAWCGAAGACTGGAGCTTTTTGTTATAAATTTATCAAAGGTATAAACTTTCAAAAGACCTTTTTATTTAGTTTGGTTTCACTCATTAATTTAAAAAAAAATCTAGTACGACTCTACGAGTAGGTACAGACAAGAAAAATGTCATGGCACCTATAGCTATAGGTATCTATGCTGATATAGTATGGTAGTATATTATTATGAGCATTAATAATTTTTATAAATACTGTAATAATTATAAGTGGTGTACAATCGTATAAGAATAAGGACTTGTTATTCAGCATTATTTTCTGATAAGAAAAAAAGTTTTAACATGTAACTACTAACTATATATACGTACGGAAATAAAAATTGGTTTAGTAAAAATAATTATATACCTTTCAGCACAAAAACTTTTTATTTAATTCACTTGCACAATTAAATTTATACTACGTCTGATAAGYTTCTCGGTAAACATGATTATACACTTTTTAACCATTATATTGTACATAATTAAACAATAGTATAKTATTATATTATTATATTATACATTTGTTTTAAGCAAATGTGATTTAAATAAAAGTTTAAGGTCATGTTTTACCAGGTTTTTTCGTTCTTTTTTAATAAAAATAAAAACTTATTACAATTGATTTTTAGCAAAGTATGGTTCACAATCTCAGCATATTACATTGTTTGAATGATTTGTATAAAATCTATCAAAATATTCCTGTTGAACCTAAATATCTATCATTGTGAAATATGCAGGTAGTAGATGTCATCATCAACTACTAAACAACTATAATTATTAGGTTTCCAATTGTCATAACACTTAATTTTTCAAAACATCATAATGCTATTTTTATTTATTATTACCATTTAATTTATGTTAACCCTTAGCTGTGAAATGAACGAAAAATGTTTCACGGTATTTTAAATATATTTTATTTAATTAGGTCACTAATGCTTTAAAACTAGAATAATTGTATATCGTATACAATAAAACTATAAAATGCATTGGAAATAAATTAAAAATCCATTAAGTAGCTAACCAYTAACAGGCTGTACAGTAGATGTCAATACTAACTAATTTAAGTAAGTCACTGTAGTCAGTAATTAACCTATTTGTGTGAATTTGAATTCATTGATATATAACATTGAATACGATGAAATAAATAAATTGTCTAGTTGACCAAAAAAATTCATCGTGAGATTATGTAAGTAGGTTTTAATTGTTGGGAGTTTGAAGTCGGTAAGAAGTGCTTCGTTTCAKATGAACCATGGTGCATTGRAAATTATACGYTAAATCTTGGWTTAGAAGACTTAAATCCTATTTATGTATGTGAGTTTTGACACAGTTTCCCCAGTTTTCCATTTTTTCGCCCAGCATTTTATTTTGTTTAAGTGGCTCTGTATATTATTTCACAGCTCTAAATAATGATGGATAATTAAATTTGATAAGTCTTCATAAATAATTATGCATATTTAATTCAAATTATTTAACTTTATAACAAATAATGTTTTGATCAGGATAATTAAAAATTATCTTTTTCAAACTAGCTACAAACCATCAATGAATATTAATTGGTGATTGCTAACAAGTATCAGTAATTATACTCCAAAATGTAAAGC